TTGGCATATGAATTTTGATACTTGTTTTTAATTATGTACTTGTATACTATTTTCAGTGGGTCTGTGTCATGTTAAGTTCACAGGACAGATAGAGCTTATTAAATGGATAATTTCTATATTTTTTGACCTCACTTGATTTGTCTATTGCCCAAAACCTTGACTTGTTGGCATCCCGGTGTGGATGGCAGGGGAGTCGTGAGGGGCCCTATCCTTGCTGTGGTAGCACAGCCATGGTCCCTTACCCATTATCCGCCCCACAGTGCGCGTGCCCACCACAGAGCCTGGGCTCCTCGCAGCAGTCAGCAGGGAGGCTGCAGGCAGCTGCACCAGGGTCTGCAGAGCCCCAGCCTGGCTTATTGCTGGCAGGTGCTTGCATGCCTCAAGGTGAACAGCAGAGAAGGGACTGCAGCTGCTCTGCCACGACAAGGATTGGGCCCCTCATGACTCCCCCGCTGTCCGCTGTGCCTATAGGAGTAGGCAATAGGGGTGCACCGATAAAGATTTTCTTGACCGATACCGATAGCTGATTATATTAACCAGCCATGTTGGCCAATATGATCTGATAACCAATTTGTTTACTTGTGACACTGGAGACTGCTGGAGCACATAAAAAAAAAAGGTTGATTTATATCAGTACTTTAAAATGTACTGACATAAACCCTTTTTCTTTGATGTGCTCCAGCAGTCTTCAGCATCACATGCATCAGCGTCCCAGTGCTTTAAAATGGCAGTGGAGTCACTTGAATTAAAGTTAATTGAATGAGCTTTAGTTCAAGCACTGCCACCACCATTTTTAAGTGTGGGGATGCTTTCAAGCGGGGCAGAGCTGAGTGGGGTGAGGGCGGATGCGGGCTGCCTACTGTGGACTTGGGGATCTCTGTTCTGCTGCCTTTGCCCCGGGAGTCCTGCACTGCCCGTGTCCCCTGCCTGTCTCACAGTGGGAGGCACAACTTGCCACCCTCACTGCTACCGGGTCGGCAGGGGGCACATGGCCGGCGCATGACTCCCAGGGCAAAGGCAGCAAAGCAGAGAGCCCCAAGCCCACAGTGGGCAGCCCGTATCTGCCCCGTGTACAGATCTGAGGGGGCACATGCTCCTCATGCCTCCCCGGGGGGATGTGCACAGTGGCAAGGAGCCGCCTCCCCACCCCACAGCCCCCGGATGAGCTATCTGTGGCTCTGAGCAGTGCCCCCAGTCCCTCCCCTGCCTAACTCCCTCCCTCACCATGGGGGCCTTGATCTGCACCCCAACATCCCTTCCCTCCCCCATACTTCTTCTCCTGCATATACTTACCTGCAGGGAGCTGCTGTCCATGTTGCCTGACTGTTTTCCTGGCCATATCCATGTGTGTGGCTGTGCACATGCACACAGCGCCCCCTGTGTCTCAGTCCTGGCAGCTCCAAGTAGGCCTCCTTGCAGGCTAGAAAGCTGCCCTCCTTCAAGGGGAAACTTGCCATTTCCTGAGGGAACCCAGAGATCCAGGGGCCCTTGCCAGAAAGCATAATTACAGCAAAAGCTTTGTTATCTGGCATCCGTGGGGAATAAGGGGTGCTGGTTAAAAAAATATGCTGGTTAATTGAGAGCCCTGAACAGGCGTCTTTGCCTGTTTGGGCCGCCACTTCTCCTGTCACGTCCGGGGCATCGCCGCCCCTCCTGCAGGCCCCGAGGGACAGGGAAGCGGGACCCGTGCAGCCTGCCACGGTGTGCACTTCCAGTTTCGCTTTTATCTTACAAGCCGGCATGCCAGTTAATAGAGCATGCCGGCTTGTAAGGTGCCAGTTAAGGCAGCTTTTACTGTAATTATATTTATCAGAGAACATATCGGGTATAACAGCCAAAAAAAGCCAACAGCCGGTAATGTAAATTTCTTTTTTATTGGTGCCGATCTGATATGCAACCAAAATATTGGTGGACTCAGGTAGGCAACCCTCAAGGTGCACATGCCATGCTCTCTCATAGGTGATGGGGGTTGCCTACTCATAGTCTACTGCATTATTTTACAATGCACCATCCAAACCATAAATTGAATGCAGATTTGTTTCTTCATGTTCTGTCAGTGTATACTGAATGAAAGGGATCCTATATCAAACTGTGAACATGTAGTTAGACTCTGTCACAATACATGTGCACAAGTGGACAGAATTAATGTTTTATAAGCAACCTTGGTTTTAGTATTTCCTAAATTTGAGTGCTTAGCTCTTCCACTTGAATGTTCTTTTAATGTGATTTTTTTTGGATTTCCTAATGAAAAAAATCACTAAAAATATATCATACGGAGCCATATTGACCCTGAATCAGTGGGCCTGAAACCTTTAGAACCACAGCATAGACTGTCTCGGTATACAAAAGTATAGTACAACACAGGCTTAAAGAGAGAGGTCTTGTTTCCTTCAAAGTTCAGCAGCTAGAACTCTAGTTTTGGCAGCAGAAGCTTGTATGCTTGCACGCATGGCTTCTTCTGTTGGTGGCTGTAGCCTTTATTTCTTTTGGCAACATTATACAACCTCTCTTAATGACAGAGGCAGTAGATGCACGTAAACATTCTTTTGTTTCTGGTGGTTTTAGCACACCTCCAGCAGCAATACAGTAATTCTACTGAAGCTCTGGACACCAGCTTGCAATCTACTGGTCAAAATTAAAACTATGGAAGTCCATCCTACCATTTTGGAAACCTTCCTTCCCTGGCAACACCTATATGAGTGTGTGCATGTGTGAGCACACATGTGTAAAAGTCAGAGATGGAATTAGCATATTGATGATGGAAACAGGCTTGCAAGCAAGTCCTATGGCCCTGCCTGTGGCCTGAGGGAGGCTTTGGATCTCAGGGTTTGGGGTGAAAGAACTGGTTGATCACAGTTCTGTGGCAAAAGGAAAACTGCTGCATTTACAATGAGAACATGACAGTGAGAAACAGCAGGTAGTGCTCAGCCCAGCAAAAGACCCTGAGCTAGCATGCCCCGTGCCCCCAAGTAATTTTTATTACAATATGAGTTGTGAAAAATACCCCCCTGAGTGTTTGGGAGATTCCCCTGTGCCATGTGCTGCCTTAAAGAAATTATATCATACTCAGTTTTAGGTGGGGGGACCCCACCATAACCCCTTTCTAACCAAGGATACCTCTGAGGAGAGTGTTCGGGAATCTGGGGATGGTGACAGTCTGTCTGATGAGGAGGAACAGGCGGTGGATGGGAACCTTGACCCTGAAACTCCCAGATGCCATCTACTGTTTTATGGCCAGGCCACCCAAAGGGAAGAGCAGTGATTGTGTTGCAGAACATTTACTGGCCTAGAACTTTTGAAGCATATGAACTTTTGAATCCATTCAGAGGGAGAATCAGTACTAGATCCTGCTCCGTTCATTTTTAAAGGAGGGAGAGATGTGATAGACTGTGCATTTTATGATAACATTTCTGTGTTCATGTTACAGTATGGTTGCGCATCTCCATTTCCCTTGACTAACTTATACAGGAGGAAGACTAGGTTAAAGAGTCTGTGAAGTTAGAGTTCCTGGTCTACTAACAGAAGACATGTCCTTCTACAAGGACTTGAATGGTCTTTTTGACACATCAACAAGGGGGGCAGTGGACTTCTGTGTAAGCTGAAGGAGATAAGTTTGACATGGGCATGGCTGTATAAACAAGCAGAGGGTCTGCCTGGCAGAAGTGTGTGTGGACAGAGACTAGTGGAGCAGTTTTAGGGACCCTGGCTGTGTGGCCTGTGAAGGGACTGCTGAGGGTGCTCAGGGCCATGCAGGTTGGATTGGCTTGGAGGCAGAGGGACTGCTTAACCCTTTGCAGGGGGCAGATAATCTTTAGGTGGGTGGCCTCTGCCTCAGGACATGCTTCTGTTGAAGAGGAGCTCTCTGTTTTGCTGCTTGGAACTTTGGGTTGCACTTGATCTCTCCAATAAGTGATTAAAGTCCCTCTCTCATGAGTTGAATTGGAAGCTAGCTTCTTGAGTCAGGGCCACAGACACCCAGGAAGGTTTGGGGACTGAAAGGCCAAGGTCTCAGAGTGGGAAGAAGGAAAGGCTTTCTCCTTCCCCCTCTTCCCCCCACAGAAGCCATGCCCAGGATTGCTTTAGGAGGCACTCAGAAACCAGACAATGCCACAGAGGTCCCAAGTGAGCCCCCTCCATTCCCCCCCCAGGGACTCCATGACAGATAGACAGTAAGGAGCTTATGGCCCCCTCTGGATGTTATTTTTGCAGTGCTACAAAATATACAGCACTACAAAAAATAAAGAGCTGTGGGCAGGCTGACATTACAGATACCTGGCTGGAGTGTGACAAATGCATGGTGCCCAGCCAGGAGGTGATAGAAGCAAACTGGGGAGTTGCTTTTTGCACCTGGGACTGCCTGCACATCCTTTAAAATTCAGGTCTTTAAAGAGGCTCAGGGCAGCTTAAAATATGAACCTGATCAATTATTTTAAAAAAAGATAAAATATTAATATAAAATATAACGGAACAGACTTCCCAGGTAATGCCCCCAGACCTAACCCTTTCTGCTGAAAGTCTGCTTGGATAAAAGGGTCTTACAGTGCTTCGTGAAGATGTCTAAGCTTTGGGCTGACAGACCACAAGGGGGAGGGAGTTGCAGAGCTGAGGAGTGACTATACCAAGAATATCCTCCCACATACTTCTGCCAAGTACAACTGGTGCACAGATGGTATTTGCAGGATGTTGTTCACAGCCCACCCTCGGGATTGTGATGTAACGTAAGGGAAGCTGGTCCCTTTGATATGTAGTTCCCTGACTGTTTAGGTCCTTAATACGTTAAAACCAGCACCTCTATACTTGTGCTGAGAAAGCTACTGAAAGCATTGCAGACTAGAGCACTGGAGTAATTTGCTTCTGTCAACCTACCCCATCAAGGTGGGCTACCACACTGAGCACCAGGCTTCATGGCAGTCCTCAAAGGCAGCTCATCTAGAGTGCATTGCAGTAGGCTAGAGTTACAAAAGCATGGACATTGGTGAAAAAATCTGAATATGAAAGAAAGGGTCATAGCCTTCTCACTACATGGAGTTGACCTTCTAGCCACAGCTGTAATCTGAGCATGGATCCTAGTTTTCCATGATAAAAAACCCCCAAAATTCTCTGATTAAGAAACCCTAACAATCTGCATTTTTCCACAGCGAGCCCCCCCTCAACAACACTGATTGGCTGAAGGGCCCTGCCCCTTGCCGCTTATTGGCCAAGAGGGCTGTTGTTCATGTGACCTCATCTCTGATTGATGGAAATGGGCAGGGCAGCATGACAGGCAGCCCTCCCAGCCAATTGGTACAGAGGGAGGAGGAGGGAGGGGGTGCCACCATCTAGGCAGTTTAATGGCGTGCCTGCAGCTTCTCCCCACTGGCAGGCTGCTGCAGCTGCTGAGAGAACCTCTGTCTTCCACTGGGGAGCCAGCATTTTATTTTTAATACAGGTTTTTTTTCCCCCCAGTGATTCTGAAGAGTCTCTGTAAAAATGCAAATTCTGTGTTTGTCTGCATTTTTCCATGGCAAACAGATTTCTAGGTTCCCTCCTGATGAGCATCCAAAAGATACTAACCTGATTGAGAAAAAGGAGGTTGACCCCTGTCAATGATGGGTGTGCCTATACCCCACAGATCATGAGGTCTGCCAGTTGCTATCACCTTCATCTTGTCTGGATTTAGCTTCGGTTGGTTCACTTGTATCCAGTTCCCAGCTCATATCCAGGCACCGAGACTGCAGGGCCTGAGTTGAATGAAAAGACGAGAAAGTTGGGTGTCTTTAATGTAATCTAAGATGGCACCTCTCTCCGACTTTCCATATGATCCTACCCAGTGGCCTCAGGTAAATGCTGACAAAGAGGGCTGACATAGTCCATGCTTATGCAGTGCAGGAGCGTATTTGGCATGCATTAGCTTCAAAACGGATTTTTAGGGGTTGTTGTAGATGAACAACTGAAAGTTCTCCCAGGGTGGGATGCTGTGGCATAAAGAAATAACACTGATACTTTTTATGTCAAGGAAATAATGGTATTTTTCTAATTAGAAGTATGTGTTTTGTTTTCCTTCGAACTCTGGAGTCATTCAAAAAGTGTTTGGATGCTGCTTACCTTGCTGGGATCATTTGACCCCAGCGGACTTCCTGCCTCTGGCAGGGGGCTGGACTCGATGATCTCTTGCAGCTTATAATTGAGTCAGCGTGTAATTGGGTCCTTGACAGTCCTGCCTGTTTTACTTGTAATTTTTTTATGCACGCAATTAAAAAAAAAAAATTCACTGCAGTTTCTATTGAAGTATTTTAGTGCATTTAATTTTTCTGTCCTTTTCTTTTCTTGGTTATTTCATTCTTTTGTGGGAGTTTGTAAGGGCAATAGCAGTTCAGCTGACCTATAGTCAGGAGAAAAAAAATCTGTTTCCCCAAAATTGAACCTGAAAATGTGGGCTCAACTTTATAACAATATGGTACAGGACAGTACCGAAAAGGGTCCGTTTTCGATTGGATTTTATGCCCATGTCTACCCCAGGTCTTCCACTAAGGAAATAAGTCCCACTTTAGGTAAGCTAAGCACCTAGTGAGTGGCTCTGTGTCACTCCCATTCTGACCCTTGAGAGACCACCTGGCTGCTGCTCTCTCTGCATGGTTGAAGAAAAGAGGGAGTCCATCCATATTACTTCATGCCTCTGGATCTACCCCAATGGTTCTAGCAGAATTTGGATATTCTGTCTTCAATACCATAGCCAAAGTCCAGTCTGTCCTGAGACAGGCTTTAATGATTTTTCTTATTTCTTTTTTACTTGGTTTGTGTATCTTGCTCTCAAGAGCGTGTCTCTGGGGTATATAAAATGGATCAAAATGAATTTTCCATTTCTAAAATTTTGTTTTGGTTTATTTTTAGTTTGATTATATTTCCATTTTTATCTTAATTGGCTTGGTCCAGTTAGCTTTTTAACCACTTTAACTGCACTGTTTAGTAAACCATCTTTTTGCTTTTTTTTTCTAAGGCAGTACTTTCATCTTCTTGGGTCAAAATGTACTTTTAGGGCACTACTTTCATTTTCTCAGGTTAAATTTTTCTTTTATCCTTCCTTCCTATTGTATGGATGGTCTCCCTGGAATTTTTCATCCCTTGATTTGATTCAGGAGTTTCTCAGCATTTTTTTTATATCCTCCAACTAGTTGCCAATTCTTGTGGGGCAATTATTTTTTTGCATGCCTCCTTTTCTTCCATAAAGTTTTATTATAGTTTTCCTGATATCATTTTTTCTGCTCTTCCATTGTTATCCACTGTCAGATCTTCCATTCTAAGGGTTTTACATTTTTTTTGGTAACGAAATCCAGAAGTTTTGATAGATATGTTTCCCTGCACTAGGTCTTCACTTTTCTGTTTCTGCATTGTCATTAACTTAATTTTAAAGATGTCTGTGGCCAGGGTATGATGGTGTCCCCTTTGTGCTATAATTCTCTGTTTGACTTAAAAACAGGAGATGCCACAAATTGGAACAAATAAAAAGGAAGGTCCACAGGGCTAGATGCTACAGCTTGTGGAAGGACTGAGCACATACATGTGATAGAGCGAGGGTGTCAAATTCATTTGACCTTGTGTGTGGGATCCATCAGACCATGGGCCTTCTCACAAGTTCTCAATTCAGTGATTGTAAAGGAAGAAGGACAAGTGGCAGCGGTGTTAATTCCCTGGGTTCTGGAGCTGCACTTCGGCAGCTGCAGTGACAGGCCCCACAGCCTGAATCTTGACAAAACTCCCTTTTTTATCCCATAGAATTGGTGGTTTAAGGCAATTTTTTTAAAGGCAGCATAAGTATGCTTGCTTATTTTCCATTTTATCCTTTGAAGGGTATTGGTCTCTGTATTTTTAGTAAAAAAATATTAGAAGTAATAAACTACAGTAACACTAGTTTTAAGTTTTTATCTTTTGCATAGTTGGAATAGGACTTGCAACTTCATTTAGTGTTGAGTCATGTCTAGAGGTGTTTTGGGGAGGTTACTGAAAAAAAAAGTGTTGTGTTGGGTCTGATAGCCTGTTGCTGATTGGTGAATAATTTTTAGCAGCTGTTAGCACTGTTCTGTCTGTATTGTACTTCTGTGTTCGCTGTAATTTTTAGACTTGTTGGTAAAATCCCAGGTACTTTTCTGTTGAAGTTATTAGTGACTGAACTGTTCCAAATTTGGTTTTTGAAATATAATTTTTGAGGCTTCTTTCATGTCTGTGTCATACTGTATGAACACAAGTAATTTCACTCTGGACCAGGTTATTGCTTTTGACAGAATCAAAGGAATGTGATGGTTTGACCAAGCAAACACAAAGGGGCAGAGTTGTGAACTGTATAAAAATTAGAAAAAAGTTAAGTCAGGCTATCTCTGGAAGGGCACCTCCCCATTCCTTGGAAATATGCTACTGGGGGACATGTTACCAGATCTGACTTCATTTGCTGTTTTTTATCTGTGATGTGTGAAGGAAAACAATGTCAGTTGTATGTAAAGATTTCTGGATGCAATTGAAACTTAACTGGCTGCTGATTTGAACAAAACCTGTCTAACTCTTCTTCCTATCCTTTTTTATGGACTATGTTCCTATAATATTAGTTTCATAGTTGTTAGGGGCTGGCAGATCATCAGGTCCAGCTTCTCTGCACTTGGGCAGGAAAGACTGCTGGGATCAGATGATCCCAGCAAGATGGGCATCAAGATGTTTCTTTCTTTACAGTTGTTTTTAATAATGTAATGGCATTTGATAATTGCTCTGGACTATATTTTTATTAGTATTCTATGTATGTATTGTTAGAATGAAAATATGACTCTCATATGGAAGGGGTGTGTGTGTGTATTTTTTTTTCTTCCCCTTCAAGTACTGTTAGGGCTATTTCGCCTTCCTTTAGATATTAAGCTTAGAATTGTTTCTTTCTTCAAAATGTTTCCAGTCTTAATGCTGAGTTAATTTATCCTTTAGCGAATTTCCATATTCCTGTTCTGCATCTGAGTCTCATTGCCTCAAATTAAAAACCATTGGAGTGGTTATGGCGGAGCACCATCGGGGTGCTCACCACTTAGTGGGCTGTGGCAGGCAACGGTTGAGCCTGCATGGGAAGCAGCAGGGAGATCTCTCCCAGTAGCCATTTTAAGGGGGCTGGTGTGTGGAAGAGCACCTTTGGTGTCTGCCACTTTAAACCTGAGAGCAGGCAGCTGGCAGGTGTGGGCCAACCCTTATGAGGTGGCCATTTTAGATCAAGGCTCTCAGGGCTGAGGCAGCAGTCTGCTGCAAGCAGCCAAAGAACAACACCTGGCTGAGCTGCTGCTCACAACACCTTGGAGGTAAGGGCAGGAGCAGTGGGGATGGCAGGAGGTTCCTGGTCCTGGGTATGACAGAAAACTGCACCCTGCTGGAGAAGGATGGCCTGGTGGGGCTGCTCATTGTGGGGAGCTCCTCAGAAATGCTAGGCCAGTTGCCTTTCCAGTGAAAGGCAGGTAGGGGCACCTTAAAACCCCAGACCCCATACCCTGGTGCATTACCTGGTAGTAGGAACCAAGAAAGTGAGCCCATGTGAGAGGGAGAGGGCGAGCTGTGTGAGAGGCTAGGCAAAACCCTTGATTGGTCAATGCTGGGGCTAGGACCGGGATAGTCAAAAGGGCTAGAGTGGCCACCGCGAGGGACACCCAGAGCCAGGGGGCTTGGGGTTCTGACTGGCTTTGAGGTGGGCCAGGGCCTGTGTGGCCAAAGGTCCCAGAGGCGAGAGGGAAAGAGGTCCAGGGAGCTGACAGCCCTGCATGATGGCAGGGATTGAGTCTGCCTGATTAGGAAGGATCCAGTGGGGTTTGAACACCAGACTTTGGGGCCCAGTGTGGGGCTGAAGCCACATAGTGGATGCCATCTGTGAGGCATGGGACACAAGGGGAGGTTGGAGTTGTGTACAGTGCCCCTGGCATGGGGGCAGTAAAATAGGCAGCCTCTTGCATTTTACATCAGTCTTTTATAAGTTGTGGCAGGCAAGCCTGGGTGGACTGCCCTACTTAGACAGGTGGG